AAGCCAGGCATTGTAACAAGTGGGGTTGATAGCAATAGTGAACACCAACGACAGCTAAGTGTGCAGGTTCATAGCCGGAAGCTAACTGGGTGTGCCGGCTCTGGGCAGGACTCCGAGGGCCCCCAGCTGGGTGCCCCCCACGGCTCCCTGTCAGAAGCCCCCTTGTGGTTCCGACCAATTGGCTGTCAGTCGAGGTCCCACGACCCCTCCTCGGGTCTCAGGCTTTGCCATGGCAGCTCAGGTGCCAGGGAAGGAGCTGCTTCCTTGGCCGTGGACCCGGGGGTGCGGCCCAGCGCGGAGAGAGGAGCTGTGCTGGAACGGAGCTCCCAGGCCCTCTCCACGGTGCCACCTGCAACGCCGGGACCCCAGCCTGCCCTGGGGGTGCTCTGGGCCTTGCTGATGGGCCTGCTTCCTGAGCCGCTGAGCACGAGTTGCCAGCCCCAGCTCTTCCTGAGGCCTCGCATGGGGCAGACAGGAAAGTCCCCTCCTGGGCCCGGTGTGTGGGTGGGAGGAGTGGCGCCTGCAGGTCGCAGCCCGGACTGAGCAAGGCCTATCCGGGCTTCAGGGCCGGCTGTCTGAGCCAGGCCCGGAGAGAGCAGAGACGCTGTTTCTCAGCACAAGTCCACTCCCCGGGAGGAAACTGGTGCGGAAGGGCGTGGCTTGGCCAGGGCCCCCCAGCTGCGTGTCTGCCAGCCCCACTGACGCCTCTCTGCTCCGCAGCTCTTCGTGATCGACAACGGCGCGGACGACTGGCGGATAGCCATGACCTACGAGCGCATCCTCTACATCAGCCTGGAGATGCTGGTGTGCGCCATCCACCCCATCCCCGGCGAGTACAAGTTCTTCTGGACGGCGCGCCTGGCCTTCTCGTACGCGCCGTCACGCGCGGAGGCGGACGTGGACATCATCCTGTCCATCCCCATGTTCCTGCGCCTGTACCTGATCGCGCGCGTCATGCTGCTGCACAGCAAGCTCTTCACCGACGCCTCCTCGCGCAGCATCGGGGCGCTCAACAAGATCAACTTCAACACGCGCTTCGTCATGAAGACGCTGATGACCATCTGCCCCGGCACCGTGCTGCTGGTCTTCAGCATCTCGCTGTGGATCATCGCTGCCTGGACCGTTCGCGTGTGTGAGAGGTACGCGGCCTGGGGACGGGCAGGGTAGAGGCAGGGTGTGGAGGTGCCGGGGCAGAAAAGGAGCGAGGCGGGAAATGCCCCGTGTGAGCCGGACCGGGAAACACTGGAGACGTCGTCCGGGGTAACACGCGGAATTTCGGATTTTCTGCGGCAGCGAAGCCTTCTGGTCGCACTGCTGGCCCCCACTCAGGTGTAGCCCTTCGCAGTTTTCTTGTTGTCCCTCCCTCCTGGAGTTTAAGGACGTCCCTCGCGTTTCAAAGGCTCTGAGAAGCCCTGCAGGGGGAAACCTGTTTCCTTTCGTTTACTCCAGATTTTCTCAGTGGTTTTTGCCCACAGACCCTGCTCATTGCAGTGCTGCCGCCATTGTGTAGCAGCAGTGGCAACAGCAGCAGCGCCCCCAGGGCTGGTTAGGATGCGGGCCTCCTGGCCTCACCCCAGGACTTTGGAGCCAGAATTTGCATTTTAGGCCCACTGTGATTTGTACAGAGAAGTGGCTGAAGGGGGCAGTGAGGCCCATTCCAGAGCAGGGCTCCAGCCCCCTCGCCAGCTGCTCAGACTGCCAGGGAGGCGGAGGTCAGGACTGCTGTTCCCGCCTGTGCCACACTCTTGCTGCCCCTGTGACTCCCCACTTCCAGCCGACCCTGGCTGTGCCTGTTTATCAATCGCACGAGCCGTGTGAACCTGGCTAGCACCGTGGACTCTGCCCCTAAGGCCTGTGAGATGTGGGCCGAGTCACTCTGCCTCCCCGGGCACAGTGAAGGCCACCGAATAGAACAGAGGGATGTGCACTGTGTGTCAGAGGCGTGTAAAGCATCCTGTCCGATTTACACAGGCCCTAGGGGTCCATAACCCTCCAGCACAGCTGAATCTTCTGCAGTCTCTTGTGACAGCGGAGATACAAGCCGCAGAGAAGAGCGGCCCCACAGCCCCCGTGGGTGCCGCAGAGCTGTGTCTCCTGCCTGTTCTGCTCCGTGGGCAGTGCTGCTGTTTGCGCGTTTTCCTCCAGGCTGTGGTCTGAGGGAGGGGCTCTGGCAATGACCAAGGGCCCCTGAGGCCTGGTGCTGCGTGGGGAGGCTTTTCCCACACTGCCCGGCCACGTGGGCTCGCTGCTCTGAGTGCTTGGCTTCCATCCACCTTCTGCTCTCGAGTCAGCAGCATGGTGCCAGTCTCCCGACCATGCCGGGGACGGTGCCTTCCAGACAGGATCTGTTCTCAGAGTATTCAGAGGAGGTGACGTGTGCGTATTTCCGCGACAGAACATGGCAGGGGCAAGTAGTGACGATGACAGCGACAGGTAAGTCCTGGTGTGTGTGATCCTTAGGAATTCTATGGCTGCCTTCTCATAATTAGAACCAACCAACTCCTGTCATTTATTGGTTTACACTCTGCTTTCCTTTTAATCGATGGGAGCCAAGTTTTCTGACAGTAATAATGTTGAATTTGCATAGCCCTTCAAGGTATTGAAGTCTTCCTTGTCTTCAAATCAACCCCCTTTGGCTTGGATTTCAGACAATCACACAGGCAGCTAAGTGCGTACAAGTGAGTTTCACTGATTATTAAAACTGTTGCACATATGGGTGACTTGTTTTTTTTTTTTTTTTTGATACCAAACATTGGACTCGGAACTTTGCGCTTGTGAGGCAGGCGGCAGCACCACTGAGCTAAATCCCCAGCCCTGAGTGACTATTTTTTGACTGGAAAATAAACAAGTGTGTGGTTTCTTCCACTTATCTGCTGTTGAAAGAACCTTATATCCTGGGTCCCCTTGGACACTGGGCCTCTCTCAAACATGGGTCTTTTCTTCCCAGCTGAGTCCAAGGCAGAGGCTGCAGCGGGCAGAGAACAAGCCAGAAATCCTGCTGAAGCCTGTTTGCCTCTGGGAAGGTCATCTGGGCCACGGCTCCGTCTGATGGGGCGGGATCTGGTGTACGAGCACCGTGGGTGTCGCACTCTGGGCCAGTTCCATGGAAAATGCTTTGTCTCCCCGCTGCCGGCCTCACGCCGACAGGCAGAAGTACCACGGTGTTCCCACTGCGGTTTACTGATGTGAAGCTCCTGGTTCAGTGTCACAGAGTTGTGAGGGGACTCTGACTCTGAACACCATGCTTTTGTCATCAGCCAAGCTGGGTCCTGCCGTGCCAAGACCTGTGGTCTGCGTGGCCTCGGAGCTGACACTTAAACCCGGCCTCGCTCTCGTCTGCCACTGATGTCTGTGCCCGAGGCCTCTGGGTCACAGTGTCCCCAGGTTGACATCGGTCCACACAGACACGGCCGAGGCAGTGGACACCGTGAGCACCGCTCCTGTGCCCCGAAGAGCCCGGGTCTCACAGCCTCTCCTGGGGGCTGCGCCAGAGCTTGGTGGAGGACTTCCGGGCCGGCTCCTCTGCCTCCCAGGACAGGTCTGGGTGCCGAGGGGCTGCACTTCGCTGTCTGTCTGCCAAGGCCCAGCCCTGCTTCCCCGCACCCAGGAACAGCCCCAGTAAACCTTACTCAGAGAACGCTGATAACACCTCTCAGTATAGACCTTTCCTACCGATTTCTTTAGAATCAAGCTTAAGTGATCCTTGTCGGTGTCAAATAATAGATAAGATTGGCAGAGACTTCAAGACAGGAATTATTCAGCCAGAGAAGTCAGAAGCAGGGGGCTGGGACGTGCGGCTGAAGTGAGCCTGGTCGGGAGGGGTCCAGACAAGATGGCCTTGACCTCTCCCAGCCTGGCCTGGTGACGAGTCTGTCTCCTGTGACATCAGAGAGGGTGGGTGACTTGCCCAAGGTCACACAGAAGTGTGGCAGGTTCTACAGAAACCCATGGCTGCTGACCCAGAGCAGAGCTTGTTCATTTTCCGGGTGGCTTTCGTCAGCCTGGCCTTCTCTCCAGCTGTGTACACACACTTCTGAAGTTGCTATGGCGATCCCTCTTCAGCAAGACACATTTGAAAAGGCATTTCTCACGTCTTGGGCTGGCTTTTATGTGACAAGGCAGGTTTTTCACATCTTCTCCTGCGGGGAGGAGGGCTCGGTGAAAGAGCAGAGCAGCTGGGCTGTAGGGAGGGCAGTGACGAGGTGGCCTTGCGTTGCTGGGACCTGGCCAGGCATTGCATCACTGCGCGGGGCCACAGCACTGCGTCTTCTGGGATCCTTCTGGCTGCCTGCCCGGCTCCCGCCACCCCCGGGGCTCCGAGGGACCTCCCACAACACTCAGCGCCAGGCGCCTCCGGGAAGGGGATGGCGGCTGCCAGGGCCCCACTGCAGCGGGGCAGGGCTTTCCCTGTGCCCTGTACCACGGCCATTCACACTCTCGCCTTATCCTGCGGGCCTCAGCCCTGCTCCTTAAGCTTAAGCAGCCTCTGGCCTCTGGGGCTCCACCGTTGGTCGGTGCCTAGGGGTTCCAGCCTCTTAACAGGGTTTTGGGAGATGGTGTGAATTTTCATCTTTTCCTGCATACTGGTGTTGTATTGAGGAATGTGGCCTGGCCACTAGAATTGGAGGAAACAGTGCATTCCGTTTCTTCTGCAGACAGAGCCACCACTCCCACTGTAAGGCAGATAGAAAGAGGCTTCCTCCCTCCAGCCCTTTCAGCCCCTGCCTCAGACTTCCAGGTCCACCCGGCCAGTGGCCAGCAGCAGGAAGCAGGAGCATAGCCCTCCCTCTTCCTCTCTCTTCTCTGCGGCTCCCCATAACCTCCGGCAGGGCTCCGATCCCCAGAAAGCAGTGGGGGCGGTCTACAGGAGCACGTTATGGTGGGAGCCCCAGGCTGAACCCCACAGGTTGTGCAAGGCTGGGAAGAGCCTGGGACAATGAGGCTGAGGACTGAGGTCGTGTGCCCCTCCAGGCACTGCTCCATGGGGAGCTCCCGCGAGGATCCAGGAGGACCACGGGTGGGGGGGCGGTCAGAATGGATAGTTTAGCTAGCATTTAATATACAAGTAGGAAGAAGCACATGTGTCCAGTTTATAATCTGTATGCAGTGGGAAGAGTCCATGATTTGAAAAGTTTGCAACCAGTGTGCCAAGGATAATGTCTCAGGACACCGAGAGAGCCAGAAGCACCGTCCTGCAGCCCAAGCAATGAGAAATCAGCCTCTGCCAGGGCAGCGGGAGCCCTGCTGCTTACACAGGATCAGGACGGACTACTGACAGAGATGGGAGGGGATGGAATCCTATGAGGCCTCTGCAGTATTAAGGAAGAAAGAGGAACATAATCCTAAGGATGCAGGAGGATGCTTAATGATGAGAAATTAAAAGCAGCATTGGAAAATTCTTGGGTATCCCTAACTGCGCGAGAAAATCAATCGTTTCATTAGAGAATAGTGTGTCGATGTTAAATGAAAAATGTATCTGGTTTGCATAAATACAGAGTTTCATTGCTTCTGTAAAAGGAAAATCCACATTGGTGACCCTGAATTTTTTAAAATGTGGAATATAGAAGATAAATGTAATAGTTCTCTCAGAATGCAAAGGAGATGAGAGACAGGATAAGATAGAGTTGGAGGCTATGAAATCCATATTAAAACCAACAAGTAGTTATTTCAGAGGAAGAGGCCAGAAAAATGCAGGTGAAAGAATCATCCGAGATATACATGAAGAAAATTTTTCCAGAATTGGCCCTGCTGAGAAACGAGAGAGGCAGGTAGATCAGAGTAGGCAGGTAAAATTGGCTTCTGGCTTTCTAATGAGAAGTGTGAGGGGAGCCAGGCCTAAATCTACTCCAACAAATTCCTTTTCTGAAAAAATTATCAGGACAGAAGGCAAACGATCTGGGGGGCACACAGGCAATACACTGCTGACTTTTCCTCGTGTCTTTAAATTCCGAGAGACATCAAGATGCCTCCCCAGGGCATTAAATTTGATCCACCTGTCAACAAAAGAGGAACAGGTCATCCTTGGAGTTTTGTGGGCATAGAAGGGGATCAATCTATACTGGGGTGAAGGTGGAGCTTGTATTCTAGTTGACCAGAGGATGAGTCACAAGACCTTATGGAATGTTGTGCGTGAGACAGA